GGCACTTCACGAATCAACATGTTTGACAGCTGGTGCCGGTGATTTGAACCATGCGAGGTGCCATGAATTTTCCAGGAAAATATGTCAAGATTCACATCTCTGGCGTGGAAAATGAATGCGAAGCGACCAACCAGCTAAGATCTCCCCAAGTCGGAACAATAACGATTCAACATGCCCATTGAGTGCTGTGATCTGACCCTGAGCTAGTGGTTCGGATTGCTGGTTTGTCATCCACTCATCCGCTTATCAACAGGACTAATTATGTTTGATCCTTCCGACCCGGTCTCGGCGTGCGCGGCGTTTTTCTCTCCACTGGCATGGCGATGGTTTTTGTTTTTGCACTCACTGTGGGCAGTGTTTTGCGATGTTCGCATTCTTACGTTTGTGCTTTCCACCGAGTTTCTTTATTTTGAGTGGGGTGGGGTGGGGCGGGGCATGTTGGCGTGCTTGACCAGTTCGTTGCACGGACCTGCCACGCCCAGTCCAGGGCGCAACCTGGTTGATCTTTACTGGATATACTTGGATATACCAGGATCCCAATCCAACAAGAAGAAACCACCACTCAACCATCCGCGCTGTCCGGGATGCCGTGAAGTGTCGTGTTTGCCACAAATCATGCCAGGATTCGGAGGTGGATGCTTAATGCATGCTCCTGTGCTGAAGTTGACGGGATGATCAGGGGAAAACCGTTTTTGTTTTGTGGACTGAGAGGCTCCTATCGTTTGGCATGTCCCAGGTGGTGCAGGATTTCTGCCATCAAAAGTACTAATAAACGTTTCACATGAATGTTGTTGTCACAGGTCTGGCAAATGACTGACGCATTGAGTGAGCCCATCATTATCATGAATATTTTCTTCTGGTGACATTCACCTTTTTCAGATGATGGGAACCTGCCGCAGAACGCGTCTTTGCACGCTTTCGGTTGAACATCGTGTTCACCACATGGATTTACTGAAATCGTTTGTGGTACAATGCACGCCGAGAGATTGCACACTCATCACCGTAGAGGATTGGCAAACCACTATTGTTACACGGCCATGGGTCAATACCGAGCCTTACCAAAATATGGCAGGTGAACACCCTTACCAAGAGGGGTGCCTGCATCGTGCGCTGGGTGAAGGCGCATCAGGATCCTCAGCACTTGGTGGGGGAGGCCCGTATTCTGGCCATTTTCAATGCAAGGGTTGATGCGGAGGCAAAGAAGGTGGTTGTTGAAAGGGCGCAGCATAGGCTGTATCGGGCGCTCTTCAAGGAATACAACACTGCGAAAGAAGACGCGGCGAGACTGGCGGACTTGCATGTGGCAATTGCGCAGGCTTTCGTCGAGGTCGAAAGACCCAAGGTCGGTGAATGGGCGCCTGACGGTTTCGTGGTGGTAGGTAGAGGTGCGCGGCTCGATGAGATCTCGCTCCGGTCTCAGGTCCATTCGGGCTTTGGCAGGAGGTTGCACCCTGAGGTGGTATCCATCATGTGCCGCAGGTTGGTGTGGGATTTCAGCACTCGAATTGCTTTGGCAATTTGTCTTCGACACGGGTTCGCTTCCTCCGTTTTGGTACGATGGTAAGTGGTGTGTGTTGGAGGACTCGGCGCTCAACTCCTTTGTGCTTCCGCGTATGTCGCAGTTGTATCGTACGTGGGTCCGCGCGCTTTGTGCCGTCGACGGCTCCCGGCGGGTGATGTGGACGATGTTTCGGGTCTGCCCTTTGCGCGGCTTGGTGCCGGAGGGTTGTCTGTGGGTGGTCGGATCCCCCTTCACACCGCTGTGGTCGCGGATTTGTCCTCGCTCTTTATAGGAGGTCTGGTGGTATTGCGTTTTTGAGATTCCCGTCCTTTTGGTAGGAAGTTGTACAGATGGGGATTGACAGCTCACACAAGCTGGTTGGCTGTCTTTCCGGCACAAGAACTTGTGCGATGTCACAGAGGGTTGATTGGTTGATTGGTTGGTTGATTGGTTGGTTGATTGGTTGATTGATTGACTGATTGATTGATGGATGGATTGAGATATTTGATTGATTGATTTGATTGATTGAGTGATTTGATTGATTGATTGATTGATTGATTTGATTGTCTGATTTGATTGGATTGATTGATTGATTGACTGATGGATTGATTGATTGATTGATTGATTGATTGATGGATTGATTGATTTGATTGATTTGATTGATTTGGTTGATTTGATTGATTTGATGGATTTGATTGGTTTGATTGGTTTGATTGATTTGATTGATTTGATTGATTTGATTGATTTGATTGATTTGATTGATTTGATTGATTTGATTGATTTGATTTGATTTGATTTATTTGATTGATTGATTGATGGATGGATGGATGGATGGATTGATTGATTGATTGGTTGATCGATTTGATTGATTTGATTGATTTGATTGATTTGGTTGATTTGATTGATTTGGTTGATTTGATTGATTTGATTGATTTGATTGATTTGATTGATTTGATTGATTTGTTTTTGTTTTGGTTTGATTTGATTTGATTGATTGAATGATTGATTGGTTGATTGATTGATTGGTTGATTGATTGATTGGTTGATTGATTAGTTCTTGTACATGGTTTATCGGGCATAATTCTCATCCGTGGTGGGAGCATCCACTGGCCTGGGGCTGAAGGGTCAGGATATGGGGCCTCGCGGGGCCAGGGAAGTTTGTGGAATTAGTGAGATACCCAACTGGTTGTTCACCATCCATGGCAACCACCTTTGGGAAGCAACTGGTTTTGAGTGGTCTGCACTCCTTTGACCTGTTGGCAGGAAGCCTTCTCACGCTGGAGAGATGCACTTTCGCGTTTCGCGATAAAAACGGGTGGCAGCAGATAGCTGAAGATGCTGGAGCGATGGCCATAGAGGTTGAGGTCTTTAGATCTATAGACAACTTAGCCAAGTGTACCCAGTATAACCCAAACAAGGGCCCCCAGGAAACCTTCCCCATAACCTCACACTACTTCCAGACATCATTCACTTATCCATATCTAAGCCCGAGTTGAGAGCCAACGAGATTGTTTGGCTGTGCTGCGTCGTGCGTGGGACAGGCTGGTCGGGACGGTCGGGATGGTTTGGCTGTGCTACGTCGTGCGTGGGACAGGCTGGTCGGGACGGTCGGGATGGTCGGGATAAATTTGGCTGTGCTGCGTCGTGCGTGGGACAGGCTGGTCGGGATGGTCGGGATGGTTTTGCTGTGCTCCATCATGTGTGGTACAGGCTGGTCGGGACGGTCGGGATGGTCGGGATGGTGCGGATACGGCTGCGCACGCGGAAATCTTCCCAAACTAGAATCCGATCCTACAATTCCGATTTCAACAACTAGATTCCGATTCTACCATTCCGATTTTGACAACACCCCTTCATCCAGCAGACAACTTTTTAATGTCAACCCTGGGTTAAGAATTACTGATTGATCAACTGGGTGGGTACCACAAAAAGTGATCAATTTCTGCACAAAAAGACGTACCGACTTCAAATAAATACACCAGGATTTGTTTATCCAGCGCTTTGGCAGCATTTGCAAATTGCCATCAATTGGGGTATTACCATATTAACAAGAAAACCAAGATCATATTGTTGGTGATCCATATATATATATACACATACATACATATTATGTACATACACGGTATACATGTCCCGTAAATCGCCATCAAATCTTGCCATATCACAATGGGTAAAAAAGAACCTCTTGGAGGTCCATCCCCCCAGCCATGACACGCACATAATGGCAGTGGGTCCAAATACTCCCAATTTTTTTGTTTGGGATAAACATCCATAATTTAACACTAATAGTTTATGCAGATAGGGTAGCCACATACCACATATCCACATATCTTGATTCTAGCCACATATATGTGACATATCCTGGAGCCTAAGGAGTCGATCTGGGTCTGGTGGTTCGGCTTCGCTGAAGGCCTGCTGTTTCTGATCACCATTGCGCCTGGGACGGAGCCAGGGTGGGATCCTGAACTTACCCTTTGGTAAATTGAGATAATTATGGAACATTACCAAATTTTATGGGTAAATCAACTATAAATGGCAATTTTCAATAGCTATGTTGATTCTCAGCCCTGTCCCCAGGCAACTGGTAACGAACACCCTTTTCTTGATTTTTGAAAAAGGGTTTGGGTGGGGGGGATGTTAACGTGCCTGTCAACTTGCTCACGTCATGTATGCTTCATGAACTTCAGGGTTTGGGTGGGGGGGTGTTAACGTCCCTGTCAACTTGCTCACATCTTGTATGCTTCGTGAACTTTGGGTTTGTCTACATATATATATATATACATATATATAAATATATTATATATATTTTCTTCGCAATGTATATATATATACACATACATGTACAGATCTTCTTTCAGATATGTATACGTATATACATATATACATATATATGTACAGATGATTTACATTTTTATACATACATACATACATACAAACATACATACATACATACATACCTTACCTTACATTAAATTACATTACATCACATTACGTTACGTTACATATACATATATATATATATATATTTAGACATGTTTTTTTCTTGTCGGGGAATGTGATTCACTGACTGAAAAAAAACCATTGACGCCACTGCAGTTTCTCAAACAATGGGCCAAAGCTTGCAACGCTCGCTGATACAAAAAGGCGTAAAAACACCAGTTGCCCCAGGACGATGCGACCTGTTATTTTACCAGAGGGTATATATTGCGACGGACAAGCACTTAGAATTCTCTTTGTGCCACGAAAGGCGGCTTAGAATTGCTGGATGCATAGTTCTGACACATAGAATTTCTGTATGACATCATATATTTTGAAAATTATATATTTTGTATTCATTCATGTATGATCTTTAGATTACAAATATACAAATATATACATACATATATAAATTTCAATCATTACCACCATCTCCAATCTTAAGGGAACACCAAGTGCATATAGATAGATTTGATGGGCGATGTATGATGGATGAGAAATGCTTTGAAATGCTTTGAATGCCAAACCCAAATTTATTACACCTTGTATCGAACATTGTTTTGAAAAAACGATCAGATCCATCCAAACATCCATATATGCCACAGTATTGATTCTGTAGTTTGTGGTGCTTTAGAGATTGCAGCCTTGCATGGATGGCATGGCGAACCTTGACCAACTACTTTCGAAGTTGAAGGACAGGGTAAGAAAAATAATGGTTATTCTTTCTTTTAATGTTGTAATGCCCCCCGGATTCAATCTTGATGCAGTCGGAATTGTTTTCCCATCGGCCCCCTTTCCAGAACTGGCAGAGCAGGCACCTGCGCATGAAATTGAGTAATAGAAACGGGGATAAATGATGATCACCCACCATGTAATTTTTGATATGGAAGTATTAGTTTTTATGGATGACAATCTCCGTTCATGAGTGGTTCATGCTCTGGATGGAGAGATTCCACTTTGTAGTTGGAGTCCCATGTCATGGACGAGCTTCAACCTACAAGTAATTGGCTGCTTCCCGCCATTGATCACTGGCGTATTGAATCCTTTAGACACCTGAAATGGGGATGCTGTGCCACATGACATCCCCATCCTTTCAAGAGATATTCCCTTGCCGAGATGTCTTACATGATTCCAAAGCCTCAACTACCATGGTGCTGCCAATTCAAGAACCTGGAATATTCCTTGAAATCATCTACTGAAACTTTTCAGGTCTCCATGTTTTGCAGTAGCTGACTACTGTACCCTGGTTTTTTTTTCTCCCTATCTTCCGTGGAGCGGTTTTGCGGACTCACTGAGGTGCACCTGAACTTCGAGCCTTGGTTGGGTTACAGTTGTGGTCGATATATTCATGAAAACGGGTGATGGAATATATATATATATACACCTATATTATGCAATATATATATATAAATACACATTATATCTCTAAGATGAATTTCTGTAGATGACCCCTCTACAGTCCCAGTTGAGCTCTGATCGACACGCCCTCGTATCACGGTTAGCTACACCCAATCGGCACACAGCTTGGCCTTAAGATGTCATGAGGGATGCCGACGAGGACTGGCAATTGAGATTCCCCTTGGAAAAGAGGTAAACCATGAAGGGGATATTATGAACAATGACTGGTGTGTGACCTGTGTAATGACTAAAATTATGGTTATGCTTATTGGTGAGTATGGCAATGCGCAATCATTGGAGTATTTGAAATTAGCCGTCGTGCCTTGTAGCGAGCTGTTTGCCATTTGAGGGAACAACCAGCAGGTAATAGGGTGAATCAAGCAAGCACATGTGAATATATATTTATATATACACATACATACATACATACATACATACATACATAGATACATACATAAATACATACATACATACATATATATATATACATACATATATGAATATGTACATACATATATGTACATATATATATATTGAGATATGTACATATATATATATGCACATGTATATATATATATGTAAATGTATATATATTTATGTAAATGTATATATATATGTAAATGTATATATACATGTATATAAGTATGTATATATGTATATATATATATACGTATACACATAGATGAATAAACATAAACATCCCGGCGGAAGCGTTGCCGGCCCACGAAAATGATGAAAATGAGTATTTCGTCACAGCGAGGAGCGTTTTCTTTCATTGAAAACCTCTCCAAAAAAAAGGTCCATCTACTTTGTGAATAACAACCCTTCCATGACTTCAGCCTGAAAAAGGGCAACCGCAACTTTTTCTCAAATTTTCTTCAACGTGTCAGCGGTGGTTTCCATCAGGTTTTTACCTGTGCACTCCCACCGCCACTGGAAAGAACGCATGCATTTCCATATTTGAGGGTTGCGTGCCTGGCCCTTTTTCGAGGGTAAACTTCCAGGGATGGCTTCTTTGAGGACCTTCCAGAATCCATCTACGTGACCCGTGTGGATCTTGACTTTCCCCCTGTTCTTCAGGGTTCTGGTGCGACAGTCGCCGAAATCTTAAAAATATAAAGACTCTTCACATCATATATTACTAGTATAAATTCCCAAGTTTCCATGCTCAAACATGCAGATACCGTTACAAAAAACTTAAAGAAAGTTTCAGGATGTTTTTATTCCACATTGCAAACACGACGACAAGCCCATTCTGGAGGATCCAACAATCTGAAGGAAAATATTGTTAACGTATTCATGTCTGCATGTATATGCCAACGGGATATATATAACGTCTCAGTAACACAAAGACCATAGGCAAGAATAGAACCCAAGCGTGGAAATGACGTTATCATCCCACCCCAGACTATCGGATGCGGATGTGTGCAATGGCAATTGAAGATCATAGAGCGTAGCATTAAGATCATGTGGAATTGCCAATGAAGATCATAGAGCGTAGCATCAAGATCATGTGGAAATGCCAATGAAGATCATAGAGCGTAGCATCAAGATCATGTGGAAATGCCAATGAAGATCATAGAGCGTAGCATCAAGATCATGTGGAATTGCAATTGAAGATCATAGAGCGTAGCATCAAGATCATGTGGAAATGCCAATGAAGATCATAGAGCGTAGCATCAAGATCATGTGGAAATGCCAATGAAGATCATGGAGCGTAGCATCAAGATCATGTGGAATTGCCAATGAAGATCATAGAGCGTAGCATCAAGATCATGTGGAAATGCCAATGACGTTATCATCCCACCCCACCCCACCCCAGACTATCGGATGCGGATGTGTGGATTTGTGGGACGGTAACGAGTCCGCAGGCATAAACATGTATGTATATATATACATACATATATCAAAATACACAAATAAATACACACATAAATATGCATATAGATACATAGACACATAGATACATAGATACATAGATACAAAGATACATAGACACATATATACATAGATACGTAGATAGATAGATAGATAGATCGATAGATAGATAGATAGATATACATACATAGATACATACATACACGTATACGCATATGCACATATACACATATACACATATACATATATACACACATGTGTATATATATGTACATACATTTACACACACATATATATATACACATATACATACATATGCATACATATAAAAACATATACATACATATACATTACATACACATACATATACATACATATACATACATATACATACATATACATACATGTACATACATACGCATACATTTACATACATATACATACATACTACATACATATACATACATATACATACATGTACATACATATACATACATATCAGACATACACATACATACAATTATAATACATACATATACATACATACACATACATATAATTATAATACATACATATACATACATACACATATATTTATTTATATACATACAAATACGTACATATACATAGCCATACCTGCACATACATACACATACATACATATACATACATCTACATACATACTACATACATATACATACATATGCATACATATACATACATATACATACATATACATACATATACGTACCTATACATACATATACATACATGTACATAGATACGCATACATATACATACATATACATACATATACATACATATACATACATTTACATACATATACATACCTTTTGATACATATACATACATATACATACCTTTCCATACACATGCATACATATACATATACGTTTACATATACATACACATATTCATATACATTTATTATACATACATTTACATACATACAAATACATATACGTACATATACAAACATATGTATACATGCATTTGCACATTTACATACATACACATACATACATATACATACATATATATTTATACATACATGTACGTACATATACATAGACATACATACACATACATACATTTACATACACATACATACATATACATACATACATATACATACATACACATACATACATATACATACATATATATTTATACATACATGTACGTACATATACATAGACATACATACACATACATACATTTACATACACATACATACATATACATACATATACATGCATATATATATATACATCTACATACATACTACATACATATACATACATATGCATACATATACATGCATATACATACCTGTACTTACATACACATACATATAATACATACGTATACATACACATTTATATATACATACAAATACGTACATATACAAATACGTACATATACATAGATATACATAGATATACATAGACATACATAGACATACATAGACATACATAGACATACATACACATACATACCTACATATACATACATATACAGACATATACAGACATATACAGACATATACAGACATATAGAGAGAGACAGACAGACAGACAGACAGGCAGGCAGGCAGGCAGGCAGGCAGGCAGGCAGGCAGGCAGGCAGACAGACAGACAGACAGATATACATATCCCAAAGTAACCGGGCTATCATAACTAATTTGTTGATGTAGGGGAACCCAAGTACACCCGCTAATAAAACATGGCTGGCGGGGTCGATCCCCGTGTTCTTACTGATAAAATCATCAATTGCACAGACTTTCCAGCACGCCAGGTTGAATTCCCGAAGGGTATATGGGCATATGGGAATGAATGGCACTCCTGGTATCCTGTAGTGAGCCCAAACCTTTTTGGATGTGAATAACTGATTCCAGTCAACTATTTCGTAGTCATCACAACAACTATCTACTTATACTTTTGCTACCTTCATTTCTACTTGTGAACCAGTGGACCCCCCAATCTTTTGGGCCTACCCTCCTTGGTCTTATGCAACTGGCTGTCAGGACACAGGTGCCATGGTCTTCAGCATCAAACTCTTCAGCGGCTATTGGAGCTTTGGCTGACTACTCTCATCCCAATATTTATTTCCAAAATCTATATAAATGGTTCCAAATCTACGTGAATCCCCTGTGAACACCATGGTTTCTTGGGGGTGTTTACTATATAGGAAGGGATGGTTTCCATCTGTTGAGTCGGTGCACTATCTGTGGTCTAAGGATGCATTTCTTGAAGATCGATCAGGAGGGCTTCAGGACACCCTGGACCCCTGGATTCAGCTTCTCGGCAATTGGCGGAGCTGGTGGAGGTAACTAGACCGTTACCCCGGAAAGGTGGGTTGCTTCACCGTGTTGACCAGCGCTAGTTGTTTTGTGCAGTTGGCTGCTGATATTTTGTCCACAGTCCGCTGAAGGAATCGCTACCCGGCTGTCGATCAGCCCTTGCTGTTGACTAACAGACGAGCAAATTATATGATGATCCCCAATGAGCTACATAGTTTTCTGGGGCTTCAAACCACAAACTAGGGGTCGTTGTTGGTTGTTTCTCAGTTGCTTGCACTGCGAACATGGCTCCAAAAAAGAATGTCCAAGATCAAAGTCCCTGACACCATGCATTTGAACAATCACCATTTGCAACTCATTTGCATAATCGAACATGGGGATTTTCCAATTCTCGGAGGGTATTTTCGGAATAGACCTCCTGGTGGTTGAACTAGGTTTCAAGCATGGCCCACCGGAGGTATCTACAAGAACAAAGGCATCCAAGACCTGATTCTCGGCGAAAGATGGGAAATTCAGCAAGCATCATGGGGTAAAGTCTTCTCACAAAGGACATGTTGAAAGCCACTTCAACTATCATGATATCACTGAAAATAAGCGGTTGAAAGGGGGGCAAGCTGGATGAGTTTAAACCTTTTTGTAATCTGGGCATCAATAGGCTACAAGATGTGCTTCTTGGGGCTGAAGGCTTTTGCAGAATGGTTCTAATTCACTTAGTCACTTCCCGTACATATTCAATAATTACCACCAAAATCCCGGGTGGAACGCATTGGATCTATGAATTTTGGGTGGCCATATGGACTACTATGATGGGTTTCCCCCAGTCCTGGGCTGTTTTACCAGGATTCGGAACTGCCAGCAGCACGTGCGCTATGCCCCCACAGTTACTTAATAAGTGGCCATTGGCAGTGCAACAGAACGGAATAGAATCATCACCCTCGTGAAACTGATTTACATTCATTGAACATTTTCAGAAAGGGGAAGAGAAGGGGATGTTACTTACTTCACAAAGGGAATAACGAACGCATCGACATGGCAATATACATGTGACACATTTCCGTCGCAGGGAGGATGTCCCCAGGCACCCGGACGCCACAAAACATAGAGTTAAATTTGATCTGAAACCATGATGCTAAAAAATGGTTTCGTCTAAAAATTGGGGAGCCCCCAAAACATCCCAAAGCAAGAACATTTCAGCATTAAAAGCTATGGTTTTGGAGATCTCCCATTTCAACTTCCTGGTGTCGGCTTCCGTGACCCGTCCCTTGCCAGGACCAATGTGGTGCTGGGAGCTTTCCTCACCATTCTGATCTTTCTCTTTCCGTATCCTTTGACAGCGCTCCAAGCGGCCCAGGAGGCGCGAGCTACCCCACGGCACCTGTAGGACCAGCACAAAGATACCGTGGAAATTCATGGAATTAGGTGGGAAAAAAAACTGTTGGGAAAATGTTTCTTATAACATTTAATAGGATTATATTGCCATATAGATCCATATAGCAGGTGGTTACATAACACAACCATGCTTTGAAAGTACAGAAATTTCAGGAGTCATTTTCGGGGTCCGAAAATGGGCTAACCCCAAATTGGTTTTTTTTTCATTTTTTTCATTACAATGATTTTTTTTAAATGTTTATCCTCATCTTCCCACATCTTCCCACATTTTCCCTATGAAAAGGGCCTTTTCACCGGGGATGTCCCACATCGCAGGCGGCGACGGTGATGTCCCATGAGGTGACCTGGAGGATCAGAGGAACACATTGACATTCAACATCATATAGATGATATAAAATAGATGAAATAGATGAAATAGATGAAATAGATGATCTATTTTTCATGATTCACATATTAATATAAATATATTATATAATTATATATTATATACATTCATATGGATTGTATAGATGATTTATAGATGAACATGCAGAGATATGATACATGTATACATAAGTACATATATTTACAGACGTAGACATGACTGTGGGTCAAAACGGATACCGTTGAAAGCAGGTAAAGCTGGATGTTGATATGAGGAACGGCCTTTTTATGGGCGATAAAGACATGCTAGGGGACTGTCATGCTGCGCATAGTAGTGGTTTGATGACAATTGCAAGGAAGCCTAGTAATCATGTCCATTAGCCTATACAGGTGCTATTGGAAGTGTTTCCTGTAGCTAAGTATACTTAAACAGTGGTAAACCACCTAAAGGTGATATTTATTCGACTAACGGATCATGGGATCTTACCAAGCAATGGTGCCGAAAGCAACCGCTACTAGAATTGATTCCTGGAGCATAAATGGAGTAGTAAAGAACCTACTGGCTTGTGCATTCTTGAGCCTGAAATCATCCGATTCTTTGGGTCAATGATTGTCGGCCATAGCTGGGACACGCCATGACGTGGTACATAGATCCTACCTTCACTTACAATTGCACCCCAAACTTCTGATGGCTCTTTGGGGTTATGAAACATGATCGGAAGAGGAGGCTCACTTCTGAGGCTCACTGAAAATCAGTTCCCATTTCCCGAGGTGCCGTACATCTTGAGACTCTTTGTGAAATATCTGGAAGACACCAAGAGCAACGACTACGAGCAGGATCGCATCATGCGGAACATCCGCCGACTACAGCGGAAAGGAGGCGCCAACTGGGAATCCTGGAAAAATAGGGGTATGCTGCAGGAATTTTCCGGAAATCTCAACTAAATACTGGGAGATCATGAGGAATATGGTGAGTTAACACTTGAACATGGGAATATAATACGATCTAATAGGAATCTCCCAGTAAAATGAAACTTTTGAGGAACTTTTGAGGAACTTTTGGAGCGACGCTCCTTGTCACAAAAGGCAAAAGGTAACCTACACTACATACTGTACCTGATTTTATCTTAAAGGTGCCCAAAAGTTGTTCAGAAAACCGCATGCAAGATCTGAAGTCACGGAACCTTGAAATCCCAGCCTGGAAATTTAACGCGACATAGTATTTGTATGTATTTGCGTTGTTTAGTGTGTGGTTGATGGCATGCCCCTTGATCTGTCTTTGTCAAGTCCAAGAATGTCCCAGATTGGTAGCCACGATTTTTCATCGTGGCCCTGTTCTGCAGATAGCTTATCCAGCAACGTGGAGTACTCCTGGTGGGAATGCTTCGGCTGGGGATCCAGGCTGGGTGCGACCAATGGATGGGTCAAGCTGGCCATCTGCTGGTTGTTTGGGGCCATTTTTACATCTTACAACATGCAGAGATGGTAATGGTATGTTTGTAGTTCGGAAGTCCCTTAATTACCGCAGTTGGCATTATGCTACTCACTATCCTGAGTATTAACCAGATGAGACCTTGGCTCTCAGGGCCCGTTCCATTTCTCACCAGATATAAATGCGGCTATGACTACACGCAAAAGTGGAGTAAACTTTAGCAACCATCCGATAACATAGTTGTGGAAGATGACTTTTCTAGATGGTTTCCCTCTTGGTTTCCCGGGGATTCCCAGGGACCAGCCGGGATGACCTCTGGGGTGCCTCCATGGGGCTCTGATATCACTGCCAGGGATGGACATCCAATAGTTGACTATTGGAATATCATGGAATATCCCTATCAATTGGATGTACATCAACTATATCATGACTATTGGAATATCCCTATCAACATCTATCAACTATTGGAATCCTATGGATATTCATCCCATATTCATCTCTGGAATCCGAATTTTGACTCTGCAAATACTGCCCAGAAATGGTCATTTTCCAGATCTGAATATTTTGTAAATGACATCCCCCGGTTATGACTGGTGAAACCCGGGTCAATCCTCATCAAAGAAGGTGAAGCTTGCATTCTGTTGGTGCCATTCCCAAGTTTGGTGCTGGTTACTGGTTTCCTACCACCTAATTTCTTCATTTTTGTTGATAAAACCGCACTTGCTTCTGGGTACAATCAATATTATTGTTGCTTAGAGAAACCTTTTTTTTTGGCTGTTGAAATCCCAGCTTTTACTCTCAAATTGGGACATTTTACAATTGATATCCACATCAATTCACCAAAGTTGGACGAGTTTTGGTCCTCTGAAGTCACTGAAGTGACATAATTTCACCAAAGAATTCCACCTAAGTCCGGTTAAAGTCCACATTAAAGCCACTTAGATCCACTTAAGTTCCCCCGGCAGGCAGCGGCTTCCCCGGTTTTCGGTGCCAGGCAAGCAGACCGCGTGGCGCTGCGGCGCCTTGAGAAGGTCCTGCGGGACTGCTACGACTCGACGCTTGGGTTCGCACACGAAATGACCATGGAAATACTATGGTAATAAAATGGTAATACTATGGCAACATCATGAGTATTTGGCAGCAATATTTACTATGGTATACTATAGATTTTGACCACTATACATGGTGTTTTCACCCCGCAACCAGATATTTTACAGCAAAAAAGGACCAACATTTGCGGGCCTGCGGCATGACATTGTGACCTGTTAACCTAGAATACTGAGACCTTGAAAAGGGAAAACATCTTTCTAATTTTCCAGGGAACGGCTTGAGGTGGAAAGACTAAATGTGCTGCATCGGAGAAAACAGTGGCTAAATCAATGAAAGTGGACAGTTTGCCAAACCACATTGTGAATTATAAAAGGTTGCATCCTCCTTCTCCTTGGTTATGGATGACACCTCACTTTCTATTTACCCTCCAGTAATTAAACGTGGCAATGGGAAATCCCCTATACTATACTGCAAATGGCAGACTTAATATGGGAAAATCATCTGTAAATGGTGGATTTTCCGTTGCCATGTTTGATTACTGATTTCCGGAGGGTACCGAGATGCACCATTTCTTGGTTGTTGTTGCACATTTCGTCTATCATGGATAGATCCCGCTCCTGAAATGCCTCAGGATCCACGGCATTTGGTCCGTCTCTGAACTCCGAAAAGGGGAGGAGCGATGAGCCATTTGAGTCATGGGAGTCATGGGAGTCGCTGGCACCTGTAGTTTTTCATTGGGTATGGGAATTGGGAATGCTCACCACTAAAAAGACAACAAACATGCGGGCTTTTTTGTCTCTTGGCCAAGGCCCTTGGGTTCTGATTGACCAAAAAAGATCCGACTGTTGAACACTTGGGCTGTATCCGGAGGATGCTCTGAGCTCGCTGTCCTTGAAAGGGATGCTAATTTCTATCATCCTGGGGAAAAATCTTGGGGATTCTTAAATGGGAGGAGGGGGGTTCCATTGTGGGCTGAAAAAGATGATCCAGTGTTGTCATTTTTGCGGGGATAAATCAGCCAAGGTTTGTCGGGAGTTGACTATGTTGACTACTATTGTCAGCAGATGTGCTGTTTCCCTGCATGGGTTGGATAGCTTGTTCACCCCATGAGTCATAGTGATTCCGCGCACAAGCCTTTTACGGGTTCCAAGACAAACACAAGGTGTTTCATGGTTAATATTAACCATGATCATTAACCATGATGATTAACCATAATTTTATCATGGTTGATATTAACCAGTGGCCTTATGGTTAATATTAACCATGGTTTTCGCGGCACTTGTGGGATTTCACCACCGTGACGTGGAACCAAACGTGCTTGGTGCTGCAGGAGAGAGGCAAACATCACCTGGCCATGATCGAAGTGATTCGCGCGGCTTGGATTTCGTGGTGAGCCCGCTTTTTTTTGAATGGATTGGTACTAAATGGAGGAAACATATGGAAAAATGGGGTATCAATTAGTGGATTTCCAAGATTACTTGGATCAGTAGCCATCTAATCCATCACTTGGAAACCATGAACGGGTATGAATCAGTGGAGAACCGATGACTAAAACCAGGTTCCCTACCACCAGTGGCTTTTATGGGTACTAGTGGAAAGTGGGGATTTCACGGGTATGAATTTGATGTTTTGCAATGCCATAAACCTCCCATTGGGGATGGTTTACTGGTGAAATTGGGGATGCTTTACGATTGGCATCCCATCATTGCTAAGCTGGATCGCGCGCGTTGTTTTTCTAGCGCGTACCCTTTTGTGCGTTCGGACAGAGAAAGAAAAAAAGTTTTTTTTTCGATTTTTCCCGTTTTTTGCGGGGAAAAGGTATGCAGAAACAAGAAAGAAAAAAAGAAAAAAACGATTTTTCGTCCGAGAAGAGAAAGAAAAAAAACGATTTTTCGTCCGGGCACAGAAAGAAAAAAAGAAAAAAAAACGATTTTTCCCGTTTTTCGCGGGGAAAAGGTATGCAGAAACAAAAAAAACACGCGTGCGTTCGGGCAGAGAAAGAAAAAAAGAAAATTTTTCGATTTTTCCCGTTTTTCGCGCGGAAAAGGTATGCAGAAACAAAAAAAAACATGCGTGCGTTCGGGCAGAGAAAGAAAAAAAAATCGACTTTTCCCGTTTTTCGCGAGGAAAAGGTATGCAGAAACAAAAAAAAACACGCGTGCGTTCGGGCAGAGAAAGAAAAACAGTTTTTTTTTTCGATTTTTCCTGTTTTTCGCGGGGAAAGGTATGCAGAAAAAAAAGTGCAACACATGCGTTCGGGCAGAGAAAGAAAAAAAGAAACATTTTCGATTTTTCCTGTTTTTCGCGCGGAAAAGGTCTGTAGAAACGATTAAAAAATGAAATGACTCAAACAAATGAAGCGAACGAAACAACTAAAATTGAAAAAATGAATGCAATAAACTAAATGAATGAAATTAATGGAAGGATTGAAATGACTGAAATGAGAGAAATGCATGAAACAAATGAAGGGAATGGAAAACGAATGAAACGAATAACATGAATGAAATGCATGAAACGGATGAAACCAATGAACCGTAGGAATGAAACAAGTGAATGAAATGAATGAAACGAATGAAATGAACGAAATGATGACGTCAATGAAAGAGTTGAAATGACTGAAATGAGTGAAATGAATGAAACACATGCACGGAAGGAAACGAATGAAACGAATGACATGAATGAAAGACATGAAATGCATGAAGCGAATGAAACATATGAAATGAACCAAATGAATGAAATGAATAAAACAAATGAAATGAACGAAATGATGACGTGAATGAAAGAAATGAAATGACTGAAATGAGTGAAATGAATGAAACACATGAACGGAATGAAACGAATGAAACGAATGACGCGAATGAAATGAATGAAATGCATGAAGCGAATGAAACGAATGAAATGAGCCAAATGAATGGAATGAATAAGACGAATGAAATGAATGAAATGAACGAAATGATGAAATGAATGGAAGAAATCAAATGACTGAAATGAGTGAAATGAATCAAACATGCACGAAATTTAACGAATGAAACGAATGAAATGAATGACATGAAGGAAATGATGAAATGAATGAATGAAATGAAATGAATGAAGCGAATGAAATGAATGAAGCGAATGAAATGAACCAAATGAATGACATGAATGAAACAAGGAAATGAGTGAAATGAATGGAATGAAACAAATCAATTAAATGAATGAAATGAATGAAATAAATGAAATGAATGAAACGAATGAAATGAATGAAACGAATGAAATGAACGAAATGAACGAAATGAATGAAATTCATGAAACGCATGAAATGACTGAGATGAATGAAACGAATGAACCAAATAAAATGAATGGGAAAAGGTCTGTAGAAACCATTAAAAAATGAAATGAACTAAACAAATGAAGCGAACGAAACAAATAAAATTGAAAAAATAAATGAAATAAACTAAATGAATGAAATTAATGGAAGGATTGAAATGACTGAAATGAGAGAAATGAATGAAATGCATGAAAGGAATGAAACGAATGAAACGAATGACATGAATGAAATGCATGAAACGAATGAACCGTAGAAATGAAACAAATGACTGAAACGAATGAAATGAACGAACTGATGACGTGAATGAATGACAGGTAACAATCAGAGAAGGAAGTTTTGGCATCTTCATGAAGGTTGTGATGTCGGATTTTGCGACCCCTTGAGATTACAATTGTCATAAACATATACCGGTGGGTTTGAACTTATCCTTACAATGTACACATAATATCATACATACAAGTGCATATCTATGTGAATTATTCACACGTAACTCTACGGTGGAATCACATGAACCTGTCATTACTGGGAACGGGCGGATCTTTCATGTTTGCTTCAAGCCAAGAAGCAACGTCTCTGAGCCAATGGCAAAGCGCTGCACGGCGGAGCAGCAGTCTTCAGTCCAAGCTTTGGACATTGTGATTCAGAGGGTGGCCCAGTGTCCGGACCCAAACCTGCTGCGCGATTACGTCGAGACCGAAGTTCAGCACAATGTGTGGGAGAGCAGCTTGACATTAAACCATACCTTGCGAGACAAATTGCAAGAGAAACGGCAATCGATGAACCTACAGCCATTGGATCTGTCCACAGCCATCATTGGCTATGGAAATTCGAAACCAGCAGCCAATGAAAATGCAGCAGCACAGCTCGGTACCATGATGCTGTGTATGACACATGTTATTTCTTTTTCTTTTGGAAAATCCCACATAAATGGCCCAAAAAAGATCGGTACCATGATGCTGTAAATGACACATGTGACAATACTTCACTAGTGAAATGTCTGCAAACGTTTGCAACAGAGCTCGATGCCATCATGTGCTTGATGTCAAAAACAGAACAGTTTGAGTTCAGGACCATAAAATGTCATATAGAGACACTCTTCAAAAGCTTCTGTGTGTAAAAGCCTCTGTGTATGAAAGTGTGTGTGTGTGTAAAAGCATCTGCGTGTAAAAGCGTCTGTGTGTAAAAGCGTCTGTGTGTAAAAGGGTCTGTGTGTAAAAGGGTCTGTGTGTAAAAGCGTCTGTGTAAAGTGTTTGTGTGTAAAAGCATCTGCGTGTAAAAGCGCCTGTGTGTAAAAGCGTCTGCGTGTAAAAGTGTCTGTGTGTAAAAGCGTCTGTGTGTAAAAGTCTCTGTGTGTAAACGCGTCTGTGAAAGTGTTTGTGTGTAAAAGCATCTGCGTGTAAAAGCGCCTGTGTGTAAAAGCGTCTGCGTGTAAAAGTGTCTGTGTGTAAAAGCGTCTGTGTGAAAAAGTCTCTGTGTGTAAACGCGTCTGTGAAAGTGTTTGTCTGTAAAAGCGTCTGTGTGTAATTTCACAACTTTCCCCTCCATAGCTCATATAAAATTCACCAACCATTCACCGACTATTTTTTACGACTACCATACTCAGAGCTGCTTGAAGGACGTGTTTTTCGCTCTCGGGCCAACCGTCGTCTAGTTTTTCGATTTTTCCCGTTTTTTGCGGGGAAAAGGTATGCCGAAACAAAAAAAAACACACGTGCGTTCGGGCAGAGAAAGAAAAAAGTGTTTTTTTCGATTTTTCCCGTTTTTTGCGGGGAAAAGGTATGCAGAAACAAAAAAAACACGCGTGCGTTCGGGCAGAGAAAGAAAAAAAGAAAAAAAACGATTTTTCGTCCGAGAAGAGAAAGAAAAAAAACGATTTTTCGTCCGGGCACAGAAAGAAAAAAAGAAAATTTTTCGATTTTTCCCGTTTTTTGCGGGGAAAAGGTATGCAGAAAAAAAAGTGCAACACATGCGTTCGGGCAGAGAAAGAAAAAAAGAAAATTTTTCGATTTTTCTTTTTTTCCCTGCGCTGAGTGCTAAAGGGGTACACCGTACAAAAACAACACTGCTTATCCAGCACAGCATCATTGTGATCCAGATTTGTTGGCAGTTGAGGATGGATTTCATGAGCAGCGCCTGCCAAGTAGCGATTGAACATGGTGAAACATCCGCTACCAATATACTGTTGAAATCAGTTGAATTTATATTCCTTATCGTAATCATGATGAATTTATCATGATGAACTTATCACTTACTGTATCTGTTGCACTTGGAGATTTCTCGTCTCTCATGTGAGACCCCAGAGAGTCAAAAGGGACGTTGCCAGCTGCCTCCCCCGCAGATGTGTGTGATTGAACATGATTCATGTTCTAAGCCCCAAACCCATGGTAAACCCAATTGGGAAACTCAAAGGCATTGGGCTATTATAAGCGGATTTTGGATGATTTTGGTAGTTTCCTGGTAAACCCATGTAAAATCCAATAGTAAACCATAGCCACACAAATGGGGTTTACAATTGGCAGCATACCAAATTGTGAGGGTTGGCTTGACAAAGGTGCACAGTTAAAAAGTGCAGAATCGAGGATCGGGAATCGAGAATCCAGAATTGAGAATCGAGAATCGAGGATCGAGGATCGAGAATCGAGAATCGAGGATCGAGAATCGAGAATCGAGAATCGAGGATCCAGGATCGAGAATCGAGAATCGAGGATCGAGAATCGAGAATCGAGAATCGAGGATCCAGGATCGAGAATCGAGAATCGAGGATCGAGCATCGAGGATCGAGGATCGAGGATCGAGAAAGGACGACCGAGGATGGAGAATTAGAATCCAGAATCCAGAGTCGAGAATCCAGCATGGAGAATCGAGAAGCAAGGATCAAGAATCGAGAAAGGAGGATCGGGATCGAGAATCGAGAATCCAGAATCGAGAATCCAGAATGGAGAATGGAGAATCCAGAATCGAGAATCGAGGATCGAGACACGAGAATCGAGGATGGAGAGCACTAGCGTGCGCAGACAATCTTTGCTGACATGAGTATGCATAGTGTTTGGCAGGCATGTGTGTGCATGAGGCATTGTTCAGCGCACTCATCGATACACGTCGGCATGTGTAATGAAACAGTGTACCCTTGGCAAGCCAACCTGGTGAGGAAAGCAGAGAATCAGGAGGGTTGTCCAATGGTAGAGACAGATGGATGCAGCATCTTTAAGTCAGGCATTTGATTGCTCTCATTGTTGAGCTCCTGTCTTGCCCTGCCAGTGTATGCAACATGGTTTTGCTTTTGCACATCCGATGTCGTGGATTTTGCAAAAGCATGTTGAGAATCACAAGCATGATTGACTTCAAAGACGGAATTTGCGAGTATGCATCCATGACAGTGGCTGCCCTCATGAACAGTCTCCGCCGCCGTCAGCATGCAAAGTCAGCAAACCTGTTGAGGTTTGGGCCCACTCGTGTCAAGTACTAGCAAGACATCCCGAAAAGCAAATCAGGTTTCACTTTTCATGGGTCGACTTCGTCGTGCATGAAGTTAGCCCGAAGTCACACAAACACATGCAGCCTGAGCGGACATGCGATGTTCCCGATGTGTCTGAGAATTCAGGGAACATAGTTTTGTGGCCCGCGTTGCGGGCGTATCTGATCCCTGCTTTTGGGGGGCTGGGGGCTACTTATTAAGAGTCTTCAAGCGCAACAGGTGGAAGATTGCAACTGAGACAGACCCCGTAACGTGTGTGGTCAGCAACAGGCAGAGATGCATGAAGCATGATGCAGGGCCATGGCGCATTTCTCATTGGAGCGTGTGTTATCTCCTGTGCGAACCTCTGCATTTCCAGCTGTTTCAAAAATATTTTCCTCGATGCCCTCGCACCTTTGCCCTCGATTTTTGCAGGTGCTGGAAGCAAAGCATGAAGTGAATCGAAGCCTAAAGCAAGTGGAGAACGTCTTGTGGAGAAGCAAAACCTTCTTACCCTGCATGGTGGGTGTGTCTCATCCTTTGGGACAAAGCCCGTTCCAGTTGAAGAAGTACCAGGAGCTTGTCCCAGATGTTCCCATTGTCTGCGTGTCGTCTCTGGTAACCTCATGCTTTCGCTGTGGTGGTACCTTAGAGGACAAGACAGGTAGATCTTCTTCCCGCTTAGTGAACAATTTACGCGGAAGTGATGAGATGGACAGGTCCTAATTTTCACTCAAGCAGCTGGCGTTCTCTTTGCGGAGTTCCAGGAAGGGTTTGCTCTGCTTGTCGATTGCATTTTCTGGGTTGCTGGCAATACGAGAAAAAGGCTGGGGCTTTTCGTCACATGGACAAGCTGCACTGCTGCGGGTTACAGGCGGATGTGGGTGTTTTTGCGCCTGGGCATCGCTAAGCTTGCATCTTTGTGTTTTCATTGATCACATTTGCTGTGGGTTATGTTTATGACGGTCAGAAGTTTGAGTTTGGCTGACACGCTTTTTATTTTTGTTATGCCCAGGTCGTCCCTCGTTATCGAAGCTGCTTCGCTGTCGAAATCGGCTTGCTGCAATCAATCACAGATGAAATTGCCCATAGCGACGCAACCTTTTCCTCTACTGTGCTGCGATGTGTGAAGCAACACCCAGAAGAGGGCCAAGTTTTATGTTCTCCTCTAATCCTCTATAGCTTATTGACTTATTCTAATGATTTTTAAACTTGAAAAAATGAAAAGAAAAGGAAAAGGGAACAAATGGGAAACAATGGATTTGTCCATTTGCATTTTTTTGCATTTATTTTACTTTCTCGATTAGCTTTTTTTTTTTGCTTTTATTTTGCTTTTATGGCGGTAACCGGCCACGGTGCAAGTCATCTTTCGCGTCCGGCGTCAAGACACGCAACCGGGAGAGAAGGCACCCGGTGGAGATCTTGAGAACTGCGGTGACAAATCATGGGTCACTCCTGGCATTACCGAGGAGCCTGAGAAGCCTCGCAAGGCTTTGATCACTGCACAGCTGTTGATACAGCTTTTGATGCTTCACAGCGGATGATTCGATGTTTATAAATCTCAGGGTTCTGAAGCAGCAAGTATGGTTGTAAGAAGCAAACATGTGGATATAGGCTGTAAGGTGATAGATCATGGCTGGTTGATGATTGGTTAAATGGGGCGTGCCTTCTTAGGGGTGAATTTCAGTTAGTATGTGGGTAGCAAACATGAATTTTCCCCAGTTAAAGTCGGTTATCAGACACCTCACGAATCGGAATGCAACCCCCCAACTGCACATATACCAGCTTACTGTAGATGCTCTTAGCCAGCATGTCGGTGAGAATATTGGTTAGGGTATTAAGAAAATATCAGGATATCATCTGTATCATCTGGAAACGCTGGGGCTAGGGTTCGTGTAACTAATGACAGAACCAAGCTGTAAGCCAGATTTTCACTGTTCATGGTCCAGATGTTCACTGTTCATGGTACTTGTATATTGAAGATGACAAAGGTGGCATCCTCCTGGTGTCCCCGGCATATCCTTGGATTTGATTGATTCGGTTCTCTTGCTCGGTTCTTTGAATAAACTACCTGGAACTGCAACCCGCAAAAAGATGCAGACAAGGGTCACTTCATGTTGTAGAGCTTCGCACGCCGGCGATGCCATGAGGGCTATGTATAGTAGTGTGAGTGTTGGTGTTGTTCATGTGCTCGGCGCGTGCGCCCAGATGCAGAGCACAGTGTGATGTTCTTTTCATACCGCAGCTTGTAACCACCTTATCATATATCTGTTGGTTGCATTTTTGTGCTTGTTCTTGTTTTTGTTCTTGTTCTTGTTGTTGTTTGTTGTTGTTGTTGTTGTGGTTGTGGTTGTGGTTGTGGTTGTTGTTGTTGTTGTGGTGGTGGTGGTGGTTGTTACCCCTGGAGTTTTTTCCCCACCTGCCAGGTGAGGGTTGTTAGATTTTATGTCAGTTGCCTCCTCCTCCTCCTCCTTCTCCTCCTCCTCCTCCTTCTCCTCCTCCTCCTCCGCCTCCTCCTGCCTCGTCCTCCTCTCCTCCTCCTCTTCGTCCTCCTCCTCGTCGTCCTCGTCGTCCTCGTCGTCCTCGTCGTCCTTGCTCAACTGCGACCGGCGATCCACAGTGTTCTCTGCCGGACCTCAACCACGACCATCCACGCCCAGTGTTCCCTGCCGGACCTCAACCACGACCATCCACGCCCAATGTTCCCTGCCGGACCTCAACCACGACCATCCGCGCCCAGTGTTCCCTGCCGGACCTCAACCGCGACCATCCGCGCCCAGTGTTCCCTGCCGGACCTCAACCGCGACCATCCGCGCCCAGTGTTCCCTGCCGGACCTCAACCGCGAGTATCCACGCCAAGTGTTCCCTGCCAGACCTCATGTAGGAAGATATGGGACAAAGAATGTGCAGAAGAAAGTTACAAAGATAGAATGCCAGAAGATTTGCCGGATAGAATGCCAGAAGATATGCCAGAAGATATGCCAGATAGAATGCCAAATAGAATGCCAGAAGATATGTCAGATAGAATGCCAGAAGAGTTGCCAGATAATATGCCAGAAGATATGCCAGATAGAATGCCAGAAGATTTGCCAGATAGAATGCCAGAAAATATGCCAGGAGATATGCCAGATAGATATGCCAGAAGATATACCAGAAGATATGCCAGATAGAATGCCAGAAGATATGCCAGATAGAATGCCAAAAGATATGTCAGAATATATGCCAGAAGATATGCCAGATCGAATGCCAGATAGAATGCCAGAAGATATGTCAGATAGAATGCCAGAAGATATGCCAGATAGAATGCCAGAAGATTTGCCAGATAGAATGCCAGAAGATATGCCAGAAAATATGCCAGAACATATGCCAGAAGATATGCCAGATAGAATGCCAAATAGAATGTCAGAAGATATGTCAGATAGAATGCCAGAAGATTTGCCAGTAAGAAAATGTATAAATTTGTAAATGTCATGGTGGGGATCACACGAAGTAAAGTAATTTTATCACTTTCGTAGTGGCCGACAAGCGTCAAATAGGTAGTGTTTGCGCATTTCTGTTGAACACCTTGGAGCAAAAAACGTGGTAAATACCGATGTTTTTTGCGCCTCAGAAGCCCAGAACCATGGTATTTACGATGTTTTTTGCATCTGTAACACAATTGACGGTATTTACAATGTTTTGTGGCCAGTGCCTAGCAAAAACACAGGTATCTATATATGTAGTTTTCACGATCGAGAATCCAGGATCGAGAATCCAGAATCGAAAATGAAGAATCGAAGATGGAGAACCGAAAATCGAGGATCGAAGATCGGGAATGGAGAATCGAGAGTCGCGAATCCAGAATTGAAAATGACGAATTGAGGATGGAAAATCGAAAATCGAGGATCGAGGATGGGGCTTGTGAAACCGGGTCTGCAAATTGTTGGAAACACTCATGTACCTACCCAAATGCAACTAGATTTCTCCACCAAACGCTTGTTCGGAACTTCTGGTTCTCTACAGTCTTTGTTAGTTCTATCACATCCCCATTTTTGTTGGTTAAACCATCATTTTTGTGCAAGAAAACCCATGTAAAAGGACGAAACGGCTATATAATCCCCATGAATGTACCTTAGTTATAGATCGCATAGGCAAAATTAGGGCACCTACTGCCTGTTGCAATCACTTGCCCTCCTGGAATGCTCATCCAAATAGTTAATTGCAACATCCATCACGGGTGTAATGCTCCCATATCACTTTTCTCAGTAAAAATCAGGTTTGATGAATCTCAAGTCCAAATTTTGTTGCTGTTCTCTCCGTTTAGCTATAGCTTCAGTGATCCCATAGAATGCCTGGGATGACCGGATGACCTCAGCTGCCCCGCAATGGCGTTTCAAGGTCCGGTATTTGCCATTGCTGAACCTGGTGGAGGATTGGGAATCCCTAGCAGCCCTAGCAATCAAAGCCGTCGAATCCCAATTTTTTATCGTTAAATTCCTTCTGTTGCTGGTAAAATCCAAATTTGTTGTTGCTTTGTTTCCATGATTATATCTTAGTATATCCGGCATCAGGGGAAGCATCAACAAAGGTAGGATTCACCAGCGAGAACTGGAGTTGTGTGGAACCCACTAGTGGATGTAATATACAATTTTATGGGGTTGATGGGTGTTGAGACGGGTGGGTAAACCCCATGTTAAATGAGTTTAAATGGGTTTATTGATCACATTGACCCAAATGTCACGCTATCATGGTTGGACCCCTGAAACATCGTTTAAGGTCATCAAAAACTGGAATCTACAGTATCCGGAATGAAATGGGAGTTTCAACTCCCAAGAACGGCGTTTTCAACCAAGACTGATGAGGATGACTCCCAGGGGACTTCATCTACTCGGAGGTCCTCGAACTGACCAGCATATGAAATCCCTGACAACTTACATTGTGGAAATGGGTTTGGCTTAAAACTACTCGCCTCAGCAAATTGCCTACATATACGTATATATATATATTATATAATTATATATATATTTATATATTTATATATATATATGTAATTATATATATATAGACTAGATATATGTATATATATATAAACTTATATATATATATTATATACATGTCATGTATATATATATATATAAATGATTACCAAAGTTTGTGCGATTGGTGGGTCCATTTGTGCCCCATTTTTGAGCCATGGTCCAAAGGTTAGTTCGTGGCGCCTGCCACTCATAGTGGTGATTTGTTAAAAAATGAGGCCCTCACTTGCGAACCATTTGCCGGGTTATCAAAATGAGGTATTGCCTCCCCAAACATTGTAGGGCTGTCCGGTTGAATGCCAATGGGATGGCTGAACCGGCTGAACCAGTTCCAGTCCCAGGACTTTACGATTGAAGATACCATTGAAGATCTCATCCAAGAATCTCTTTTTCATGGACCTTTAGCATGATCCCCCGATTTCTGGATGGCCAAGACCCATAGTTTCTTTTAAATTGCCCAAAGAATCCATGGAAGGCATCAATTTCATTGATTAAACCTCCAGCTTCATTGTTATATTCTCATTGATGTTGACTAGATTGACATGTCCGGTGCTTCAATGCTAACATGTTCAAATTCATTCAGTTGTAATCCCAACCCTCCAATATGAAAATACTACCAAAACGAACCCATGGCGACATGTGTTGGATCTACTCATTTTTGGGGTATGTATGAATAAATGATTTGGTAGTTTAGGGGGGGAAGGCATCGTATTCATTTTTTGTCTGGGTAAATAATACATCCCCTTTAGATGCAAATTTCGACCACCATTCATTTCCTGGTCTATTTTGTGGTAAATCGCCATCAAGTCCATTTTATTCGTTCAAATCCAGGTGGAATCCCCTTGAAATCCTCGTATCATCCCCATTCTATTACCCTCACGCTCCAATGAAATCACCATTAAAATCATTCTAGCTCATCATTTTCTCTACAAATCATTTGGGGAAGGGGGATAGCCCATTCACACATAGGAGTTGATCGAGCAAGTGGTCTTCGTGGGAAGCATCACGCAATTCAGCGACGCACAGAAGACAGAGGTGGCCACGGTGGCGCGTGGGGTCAAAGCAGAGGGAATGTCTGAAGAATTCTGAAGAAAAAGAGGGATTTACACCAGTTTATGGGGAAACAGTGGAAGAAAGGATGATTGTATCTTAGTGGAAGATCAAGAGAGCAAAGCAACTGAAACGCCGACATACCGATGTTGCCTTGTCAGGACTATAGACTATAATGTATCACGCGTTTCACTCCTGTGTGCACATTTTACCTCATTCGCATGTCCTTTTGCGAGAAGAATCGCGGGTGTGAGATAGTGCAGTAACAGCATAAGCACGGATGTTCATGTATAGCGTTACTGTCTGAAAAGCATGCGTTGACATGAAACATACAGTGCGAATGTCGCAGGTGGTTAGATCTTCAAGAGAAACATGTTTTTCCTTATAATCGCCACAATATGATTTGGTGATTTCTTCCCCTACATTGGGCAACCCCCCAGAAAAAACCGTTTGACATATTCAATACTTTCCCATTGAACCATGCTTAGCCGTAATTTTCCGACTTAATCAGCATGAATCAGCCATGATTAAAACAATCCCATTAGCATGAAATGCTCTCGAAACCCAGATTAAACCACCATTCAATGATTAGTCATCAGTTCCCATATGATCCATATGGAGAAAATCATGATCGAGCCTGGAGGTCTATTTAATTCCTATGATATATCATCATAGTTTGAGTATTCAATTCCTATGATTTCCAAATGTCACATGATTTCATGATAGACATTTTCTGAACAGACATTTTCTGAATCATATTTGAGGAATTCCATCATTAATTTCACGACTTCATGATATTTTGTGAATCCCATCTTGTTTGCCTGTTTCTTCATAGCGCCTCCAGGTGCTGCGCTTGATCCAAGAAATCCGAGCGGAGCAGGCCATGTTCCGGGAGGCCAACGGGCGAGGGTTGGGGCGAAGAATTGGGCAGAAAATTCTGGTGATTCCATGGGTCGTTTTTTTTTTTAAACTTCCTGCGGGGAGAGATAATTTATGATTTTAGATGGTTTTAAATGGTTTGAGATGATTTGAAATAATTTTTGCCTTTGGATTTGACGCGAAATTCATGTGATTTGACAGGGGTTTTATTGGACATATCATGGGAGTTGATTGGGAATGTGGGACTCATTGGGAACTCAATGGAGATTTATTGGAAATATCTTTGCCTATAGCGTATTTTCTGCGATATTTTTGGGGCAGTATGATTTATGGCTTTGTCAATGGGGGATCAACTGCCACCTTAAAAAATATGGCCGTTCATTTTGGGAACTCAATGGATCTTTAAAAAACAGGCGGAAAAAACGTGCACCGAACCATGGGAAAAACCATGAGATTTTGCACCCGAAAGCGCTCCTATTCCCACTGGTATCTGGGGTGTTAGGAGCAATCCTGGTTGGTTGGCTGAGTATGAACTGGAAAATGGGAATTCAGCTGTGAAAACTGAGATCACTAGTTTTGTGCCTGCGATTATGGGGTGATTGTGCCACCCTCATTAAAGACACAATTCCCATCAACATGAAAATCCACATGGTATCACCGTATCACCATTGGTTATATATTCATTCCAAATACCCTCCGGTAATCAAATGTGGCAAGGGAACATGTCCTATTTATTCCAGCTAGCCACGTTTCATTCGAGGGCATCTCCAGCCACTTTTATCATTAAGAAACATTACAACCATCTTAAAGATTATTTAAAAAACAACATAAAACTATAATTTATTTTCCCCATTTTACAAAATTTTACCATCTGGGGATGAAGCTATTGGTGGATAAACTTACCATTAAACTAGTTCCATTGGATGGGCTGGACCAATTGCGCAGGCTTTCTTCCAGCAGCGAAGCAAATGTTTTGAGTCCGTGAAGAGCCTTGGGCTTTGGGGGACTTAAGCAGAAAATAACAATCCAAAATGGTAATTTTAACCATCAAAAAAGGTGACTTAAGTGTGATGGAAACATCATAACATTGTGATTTAACAATTTAAACATCAAAAATGGTGTTTGAACTATCAAACGTGGTGAACTTGTGATTTTACCATGAATATTGAGGATTTCAGCGACAAAAAATGGGAAATTAACGGACAAAGATGGGGGACCTACCAATCTATCATTGGAATCAGCAAAATGAGGATGTAACCAACCAAAAGTGAGGTTTTACCCTTTGGCAATGTAACATAGCCACAGATAGCCATGACCATCCATGACCCATTTGTAGATGAATTACCTATTAAACATGGCAACTTTTCGGGGCGATGTTAGATGACCAGTGACCAGAGGTATTCGGACCGAAATGATGTTGTGACCGACAAGAAATTGGGGGGATTAACCAACAAACCACCCCAATCATTGGTTGGCGAACCCTGCCAAGAAGGGCGTTGGATGGTAGCTGGGACCTGGGAAATGGAAATGTAGTTCATGGTCTGTAATCTTTATAGCCACATAAAAATGGGTGTGTTTGCAAATGGTGTGTATACCTCCCCTTTCAAACCAATCATTGACGGGATAATGATGATCAGCCAGTGGATGAAACAGGGTACCCCCCGTATGATTCTAGGAGACGATTGGAAATTCATTGGACATATATATTCCAATCATATCATACATCCCCGAAAACATGTATTCCCATCATATTCCCATCATATTCCCATCATATTCCCATCACTGGAAATGGGACGTATACTAGCTAGTTTAGTGGGGATTATGATAGCCCATAACTAGGGAAACCTGTCAACCAAAGAGTATTTCATGGGACAACGGGGTATTTGTAATGGCTTTCCATGGGACATGGGGGCCCTGGTCGTGCTAGTAGCTGCTAGTGATCTCGCCCTGAGGGAGAACGAGATCGCCAGCATCATTCAGGAGTTGGAGGTGGTGCATACGGTGGCCTGTCATATGTTGCTTGGCAAATCTTGGTGCGGCCAGACCTGGATGAAGCTGGTGCTGACCTGGTGGTTAATCGATATGAAATAGAGACACATAGATACTAGATATGAGACAACAACGCACTATGATCTGATATGATCTGATCTGATCTGATATGATATGATGATGCTGGTGGTTGTAGTTGTGATGATGATGAACTATGGATCATTGTAATCCACGATGGGAAGTTATACAGTGGGATTATTGCAATACAACACGTCGTCCATTAGATGAACTAAACTAACGGGGGTTGAATATAACAACCCTGGCCTTTTTTGGGTGAACTGGTTGATTTGGGAGGATTCATGATTTGAATCTGTCTCATTTGTCAATGCATCTACAACAATGTGCCCTGCTCCCAATTGCCTAAGCACATTCTCAGTTGGATTGATTGGATGAGAGAATTCTTGGTTTGGTGAAAATCCGAACCATTGTTCAACAATATTCCTTTTCGGATTTGTTTCGGATGAGGTAATTTGATGTAATTTGTCGGTTTTTGGCGGCGCCCTTCCCTGCTTCCATATTGTGCGTACTTATGATTTGCTCAAATAGTCTACCCGTATGGTGCAGTAGTGGTTCCCAACATTGCTACAGAGGTTTTTCCATTCACAGAGAATACTGCCATTGCGGCTTGTTTGTCGGAGCAGGATGATGGTCATCAACGGCTTTGTCCGCTATGCGTCCTGGCGGGGATTGGTTGGGTACGCAGCAGGATTGAGGACTGAAAACTGAAACATTATTATGTGAGAAATCAAAAGCATCTAATTCTCTAATATGATCTAATTGGTCCTTTTGGCTATGTTTATGAGACTTCGAACCATTTTGGATCGTTGGGTGCACAAATTTGGGCGACTCCCTTGAAGTCACTGCTTGCGGCAGGTCCTTCCACTTCCCAATTTTTACAGTTCTGCATCCCCAGGGGCCCCAGGTACGGGTCAATACATTGACCAATCTTAATTGAAGGAATTTGGAAAATGTTCAACACGTCTTGCGGAGGCGATCCCCTTCGCATGCAATGGTTGGATGATTGAAACTTCAGTTTACAAACCCTGTTACCCAACCTTCGAGGCAGAGAAGACGATGCAAGAGAGCAACAAGGCAATAGCGGGGAGTCGTCCCGAGTCGTCCCGAGTGGTCCGAGTCCTGTGTTTTTCGGTTGGTCACAGGTCGGCTGCCTGCAATCTCAACAGACAATCTGGGCTGAACATCCCCCAAAACTGTGACACAGCTTCCCTTTAGGTCCATCTAAAGCCACCAGGCGAGCTATCTCTGTGACATGGAGGGCTTTGGGTTTCGGGACCTCTTCAAAGGGGTCACGAGCCCTGGATGCAACACTCAGCTGTCGGCGGAGTGCCTGGGGGCGGGTGGCCATCAATAGCTTTTTATCTGACAAACTTATGGGAAGAATAAAAAACATGATGGGTTTTGAAAAACATGTTCCCCATTATTTGATGGTCACAACTTGGAGATTAGCAACAATTTGGACACACTCATATACATTTCTATTGTGATGCACTGGCTGGTGCTTACCAAGGGAGAAAGAGATGCCAGCTTTATTTGTCTATTTGGAACTCATGGGATGAGAAGCCCCAAGCGAAGGGGGGGACAACCTACGACCAAGAGAGAGAGAGTCAGAGAGAGAGAGAGAGAGAGAGAGATGAATGATGCGTTACAATGACCTGCACATATTCAATATTCTCATCTAGACGGCACTTATTGCCATCTGGATGAGCAGGGTGATTAGGATAATTAGAATCTCAATCTACCAACTGTGCCTGAGGTAAAAAAAAAACAAGCCGTGCCAAAAGGCCGAAACTCGATGATGGTTGATTTTAAACAGTACTGGACGTACAAGAAATACTGTTAAGATTGTTAAGGTTCTTCTTCTATACATTCTGAAATTATTTTAAGTTTTCTTGGTTTTGTTTGCAATCAATAAGGATGTCTACTAAGCATTGGCCATGACATTTGTACACATCTGATTTTGGAGTAGATCGAAAAATCACAAGTATATCACTATTCTGCTGAATATCAGGACTTGCAGATGGTTCACCTTCATATCGTATCTACTCAATCATTCTATATACATGTTGTAAGCTTCTTGATTGCAATATTCGTATATCTGCGCATCCGCCCTACCTTTCTATTGTTGCTGTGCGTTTTTCCCTTTTTTTTTGCCAACAAGAATACATTGAATACATGCTGCATAGAGTCATTTTTTTGTGCTTATATATCCATTGCTCCTTGATCAAGGTTGTTGCGAAGTTGTTGGCAATTCACCAACCTGGCAGTCAAACACCGTCGAAAATCGAGTGTATCTTCATCCTGCCGACCCCTACCACTTTGTACCCATTTGAGCAGTGGCCAACCCCACCTGATTGAGAACTAAAAGGTTCAACTGCCCTCTTGTAATCTAAGATAGCTTTGGACAAACAAAAACTGTTTGTAGCAGATGATTCACCTATAACAAAATGGGTCGTTTTCCACACGTATGTTGGATCGCCAGACGGTGCCACTGAGGACCATGGACAATGCCACTTGGCTGCGGGGATTTTAGGTTTCACGGTGCCAACTTCATGGGGATTAAGCCATTCTAAGCACATGTTTTTTTGGGGTAAGCCCGTTTTTGAACAAACCAATGGATCGAATCCACAATCCCCACTGCATTTTTGGTTGGCTGCATTCTCCTATACTTGATGGTCATTTTTCACAGGTTATGTTGGTTTCATGACGATTTTTCATGCTTAATTTACTAGGTTGTATCATTTTTGTTTGATTCGGTTTTTCAATGGTCAAACACAAAGTGGCGTCGAGTACCCACTTGAACAGCAATCACTATGCTACTGTGACTGTCAAGCACACTCTTGACACCTATCCGGAGCACTGCTAGACGCGGCATGCAAACGTCTTCCAACATATTCAACAAGCTAGGCAACATTGAGCACAAAACTAACCCAAAAACATTCGCAGGATCTCCTTTGGCACGACATGAAATGATCTGCTCACCATGGGAGCCTTTGCATGCACGACTGGTTGGGTTCTCCCGGCCAAAACCTATTATATTAGCTGGTGATCGATCTAAAGGTCCTTGTAAGGAGTTTTAATTGCGAAAGCCGTGCGTGTTATGTTGGAAACCCTCGCGAAAGTTTTTTTTCGAGTTCGCGAAAGTAAAATTTTATTTCGCGAAAGTTTCGCGAAAGTTGGGTATTATAGTCATTATATGTAAAGGGCTGCCACCCACTGCCGCCCGGGGTCCGGCAGGAGAAGGGCACCAGAGAATGCGAGTATCAGCAGCCAAGTTTCCAAAAGTGAGGCTTTGCGAGAGCCAAACACCAAGGCCCCTGGTCTTTGCTTTTCCTTCAGTGCACCCCCTGCTGATGGCCGGGGTCTGTGAATGGGATATTTTCGCGAAAGTTCCGCGAAAGTTATGCGAAAGAGCGGGCGAAAGTCAAAGTGCATGTTGAAGGGGGTGGGCCAGTAAACTTTGCAGAAAAATGTGTCCTGAGAAGGGACTCCGTGATGCTAGCTGCATGTTTAAAAGGCTACCAAGAAGGGATCCGTGATTCTCTGGCATAATTTGGCAGGTGGTGAACGAATCTTCATAAGAGGTGTTGTTGCCCAACATGGGCCCCGCGAAAGATAAACATGGAGTTCGCGAAAGTTTCGCGAAAGTAAAATTTTTATTCGCGAAGAATGGCCGTTCCGGGATAAAGGAATTTTGATCAACAACCAGCTATTGATATAAATAAATCAATAATTTGATATATAATAGTAATATATATATATTATGTATAACTATACATACACATGTACAACTAACTATACATATAAATATACGTATATGATCAGTTATATTCTCATATATTTGACACAAACACATGGCGCACTCAAAAGCAAACAGCTCCCATGGCAAGGTCCGCTACTCCATGCGCATGATCTTTTCGGTCCTACTGGGTTTCTTCACGGGCTACAGCGGCTCAGGCGCCATGGCGCCGAAAATGGCACGGTTAGTCATGAAATCCATGGATGCTTTAGGGGATTCATGGGAGTTTCATGGGAATGTATGGTGTGATTCACAGGGATTTGATTCAACCTTGAAAAATCAGGGTTTTGACCTGTAAATGGCGAAATGGACGCGGCTTTTAAGGGACAAGACAACGCTAAGACAATTTCTACTCAGAGACAAAGAGGTCGCTAGTCGAAATGTGATTGCTTTCCCTTATAGATGATTTTTCTAAAGGGCGGCCGTATGTGATTCTCTGCTGGTAATCCATAGTATTACAAGGGGCATCATTTTATGTACCTTAAATACAGGCAGGGACCAATTCCCATCATGGGTTTTATTTTGATACCTATAATACAACAATTAACCAATGAAGACAAAATTTGGTTGAAGGGATATTTTTCGGGAACACCCATAGTTGGCTGTTAAAACGATGCAACCCAATGAATCAAGCAAATCCAATTTTAACATGTCAATCCTGTGGGCTGGTTGATATAATAGCGTGATTGCACATTCAGTCTTTCCCTGGCTGGTTGGGCCACTGCTAGCCACAATTCCTGTCAAAAAACATCCAGTGTGACAATATAGGTCTTTTATTGAATATGCACTATTTGAATCAATTTTTGTTTTGGTCACTGGTTGATTGCGGGGCACGTCCAGTCCTTTTTTTTTTGGCGCCCACACTAGCTGTTTTTCCTAAACTGGTCGATTCCATTGGGTAAATGATGGAGGGCTGGTGAAAATGGTTCAGGCACCCGGCGAAATGTGGGAATGTGGCAAGCCCTCTCCGAAAATGGCCGGTGACCATCGCAACCTTTTTTTGGAAGGCTCTTGATTGTTTGGATGTGCGAATCAAGGTACAGGGGTGAAATGAGCCGCATCACACTCCATACCTAGACCAGTCCATCTTTAGGCTTTCAGGGGCGAAATGACTTTGATGCAGACCCATTTTGTGATAAGACCCGTGTCTTTCGGTCAAGAACCAAGAATGTCCGCGTACGTTGGCCTATCTTTGGTGTTCTCTTTGCCTAGTGATATCCCAATTTTGGCTGGTTGAAAGTCACTGTTGATAAGACAACAGCATGCTTTGTGGGTTTTTTTTGCAACGAATCATCACAGGCATGGTGACTCCTGGAAGCCCTGCGGCTCGGCGTCGGGATGAGGGACCAACGGCTTGGGATGTTTTCAGTACTATATCAGTACTATACAACATTTATAAAATGGATTATGATGATTGATCTATTGTAAGTTAGGTAGCAACAGGTTGATTTGCGTTTCATTTTCTGAGTTTTGAGATGTGTTGATTTTGTGGGCTCAAAATTAGGTACCCTAAAAATTGGAGGATTAGTATACTAAGAATAAACCGTCAATCTGCCCCCTCCTCTGGCCTTAAATTGCGACCCACACTCATACTATGGCCATTTAGTCAAACATGGTTATCAGAAGTTCTACGTTTAGATGGTTGACATTATATTGAAAACGTCACCACCAACTTATTGGGATTAGACACCCAAACATAAGCATGGCAATCCTTTGTCCCCAATTTGAAAAATGATTCCTCCAGAAATCTGTTCTGCTGTCGTATTGGATCAGCTCGTCAACAGGTGCGGATAGGATGGTTGATTGTTATGGAAGTGAATCCTGTAGATGCACCGCAAAACTGAAATGAAATCGGGCACATGATGGAATATTCCATTCGTTTAGTATGAATGGAATATACCCCATTCAATATCGCAGTTGATGTAGCAGAACAGTGGGATGATGAGATCTTACATGAATATTGAATGGGAGATTGTATCAAAGTGTTATCCATTGCCATGCCCAGTGGGTGATTCTGGAGATGGACCCACACAGGGGTATAAGCGGCGCAGCTGGGGTTGTCCTTCCCATCCTCTGTGGAGAATGAAGGTGAACAGGGATACCCTTTATGAACCATCCTGCACTGTACAAAAACAGTTGAATAGATATTCAGTTTGGGAGATTTGCATAGATTTGCGGGTATCCTATGATTGAACAAACTCAAGTGAATTTGAAAGAACCGAAAACAAATGGAGAAGTAACCCAAAGCTTCAATGGGGGTAATCGCACAATTCTCACACCCACATGACTGTATTTTGGCGGTTTGATCGGCTTTTCCATCTCTGCAGAAGAAGAACCTTTGAAACATGGACATGGAACACATGTGACATAACGAATGTCGATTGAATGATGCTTCTGGGACGGGTTGACATTGTTGCTTAACATCCTTTTGATTGGTTTTACGTACAGACGGGTATGTTTGATTTATGGGTTGAAAGTTGAAACGGATTTGTTTGAAATATATATATATATATAGACCCCAAATCTTGCCATGTTAGTGGGGAAACATGATCATCAACCATCAACTCATGTTTCAGACCCTCGTAGGCATTGGCTCAAGTTACTTTTGAGTTTTTCGCTCGCCCCTTCACAACCCTTTGCGATGGCCTTCACTGCGCGTGTTTTCGTGCTCTCCTTGCTTGTCGCTGGAAGTATTGCAAAGACCGTGAGTGACTGGGAAAAGACGATCCGTTGGTTGATGATTCTAGGGGGATATATTGGGGATTATCGTAATCCACTTTTGGAATCCCTATTGACAAGCCAGTATAATGAAATATATGAAATGACAGGGGGGGTTGAACACTGCCCAACTGAGGAACTATCTTCAAGATTGACTAATCAGATTGGTTCCTAGTTCAATCGCTGGCAATGTACTTGCTATTTAGTTCCTGTTGAGACATGAGAATGTTACGGCGTAATCATACGAGAATGTACGCAACATGACGGAAAGTATACCCTCCAACTTGGCGGTGAAACCATCCCAATGTTTCCCGTCTCCCGCCTCCCGCCTCCCGTCTCCCGCCCACGAGAACCCCCCCCGCCGAATGGGTTGGGTCCCCCAGGAATACCCCTCTACCTCGTATTTTGCTGGTATTTGGTACCTCTTGGCATATCTACCCATGCAATGCACATACTAAAGTCAAACTCCCTACCTGCGACCTGTTCCTACATATATATATAATTACATATATATAGTCCCTTTTATACCCCTGATAAACCATCTTGCTATATCTTATGACTGTATACTACCTATGTACTATCTACATGCTATATATTTACTATCTATGCGCTATCTACATAAAACCTATATACTATCTAAATACTATCTAGAGGCTATCCATAGGATCTATATACTATCTATATACTATCTATATACTATCTATATGCTACCTATATGCTACCTATATTCTATCCTATATTTCTACTACCTATCTTATATCTGTACTTTCTTATGTTTTTTTGCATATTTAATATATATATATATACATTATACAGTATACCTACACATACCTAGTATCTTATACTATCTTGTGTCAATATAGCCCTCACACACCGGACTGCAACCAACCCACAGGGAGCGGGGGGAGGGGGAGTCAGAGAGAACCCCACTACATATACACACTTATATACCTACTGTATATGTAATCATGTGTATATATATATACATATATGAGTAACCGACAAATTTAGCGGAAGACTAAAGTAGTGGGGAGTGGACATGGGATGTTCAAATTTGTGCTAAAACATTCACAACCGATAGGGGACCACCCACTTACCGATACCCTATTTTTGCACATAGCATGGAAGTACAAAACTTCACAACCGATAGGTCGAAATGTGACAGTCGGAGATTGTATTTCATCGGAAAACGGTTCATAGTGGCTTCAAATTGCCTAACAGTTGCGTGACAAAGCGTGACAGACCGTGTGACAGAAGACAAAAAACTATACAAATCTTGGGCATTGTTGGAAAACGCAGGGACAGACCGTGACAAACCGTGATAAGGTCAGCGGTCACACCCCAACAATGGCCGGAATTTATCGGAAATCAATCGGAAAATAAAGAGTCGGAAATGCATGCAAAAATCATGGTCAGACCGCAAATAGCATGGTCGGACGCTCTGAGAGCGTGCATACCCAATTGCATGCAAATAGTCCATACATTGGATCCTCAGGGATATATATATATATCTCTCTCTCTCTCTCTTCCTCCCCCTCTCCCTCTCCCTGTCCCTCTCCCTGTCCTCTCCCTCTCCCTCTCGCTCTCCCTCTCGCTCTCCCTCTCCCTCTCCCTCTCGCTCTCCCTCTCGCTCTCCCTCTCCCTCTCGCTCTCCCTCTCCCTCTCGCTCTCCCTCTCGCTCTCCCTCTCCCTCTCCCTCTCGCTCTCCCTCTCCCCTCCCCTCTCTCTCCCTCTCTCTCTCTCTCTATGCTCTACATGCTTACATACCTACCCCACAGGGGGGAGGGGGAGATCACCGGTACCTTTATGAACTTATACATATCAATATATCAATATATCCCTTTACCCCCCATACGGAGATCATCACTACTTTTGTACCTATATATGATCGCATATCCCTAGAAATCCCATGGATCTGTAGACGTACAGTATTCCCCCATGGGCATATATTCACCTATCCACAGGGGGCAGGGGATCCCATTTCATACCCCCGTAGTTACATACCCACCCCCACCCACCCACAATCATCACTCCCTTTTTACCTGCATGTGATGTATCCTTAAATACAAAGCTCTCCCCACCCACCCACACGGGGGGTGGGGATCATCTCTACCCCTGAACCTGTAAACCCATACCCTTTGGGGGCTGGTGGGGGGGGACTGGGAGGGCCGGATCACATATATATATATATATATACATATACAATCATATACATATACATACACACATACATACATACATACATACCTACCTACCTACCTACATACATACATACATACATACATACAGACACACACACATACATACATACATACATACATACATACATACATACATACATACATACATACATACATACATACATACATACATACATACATACATACATACATACATACATGACATACATACATACATACATACATACATACATACATACATACATACATACATACATACATACATACATACATACATACATATACACATACATACATACATGCATGCATGCATGCATGCATACATACATACATACAGACTACAGACATGAGTAAAACTACATATAGCATGGGGTATAGTTATATACATATTGTGCATTGGGACACACACACATATATATATATGTTGATATATAGCATTGGGAATGGTACTCGTATGTATTTATATATATATATATACACATTGTATACATATATTCCATTCCCATGCTCGAGTAGCTTGACAAAAAAAACGGCAATCGTGCAAGTCTGGAGAATCAGCATTTTTTTGGCTTACTGGGGATGTTCTCAACGACCTGGAACGCGCCAATGCCGAACTGGGGGAGCTCCTCCCTCAGCTACGACAGGCCGGCAAAGACAGGGTCCTGGACGCTCATCCGGGGCAACCTTACACCTCAAGATCGGGACGATTTTTGTTGCATACTAAGGGGGATAGTTGAGGGGTTCTAGTTCAGGCGCTAAGGGGACATTGAATAGGACAGTTAGGAATCATGCGATAATAGATTTGGTGGGTAGTTTAGGAGATATCAAGGCATAGCCCAAGGGTAGCTAAAGACATATTAGAGCAGAATAAGGGGAACGGTAAAGGGATAGTTAAGGGGATAATTAGTAAGAATAACGGGGCGACAATAAAATACATAGTGAGGGAGAGGGCGATAAATATAAAGAGATAGCCTGGGGGATAGGAATGGATAAGAAGGAGCTAAGTAAGGGATGGCTACTGAGATAGTCCAAGGGGGAGGTAGGCATAATCGCGCCGAAGGCGAATGATAAGAAAGACCTGCTAGACTATGTTGGAAACCCTCGGAGGATAAAATCCGAGATGTGAGACTTTACGACTGATGCAGTGCAGGTTCTTATCGTTTATCCTTTTTCACATAGATAGCTTGATAAAAAAGAAGGACCACCCCCGAGTTGACCCTATATCGTTTCTCATCCGAGATCACCCGCCTAGCATTCCATTTATTCGAACGGACCACGAAAAGTTTCCTGTATTTCAAACCCTTATATAATTCCATGAAGACGGCCCTGCCCAGGTGTACCAAGGTCTGAGCGTGCTGCGTGAAGCGCAGGCCCAAGGGGTCTGTGCTTCAGAGCTGGTGCCT